CAGTAACGTACATTTCAAAACGGCAGTATCGCTTTATTCTGGAACTCGTTAACAATCCTTCCAAATCAATTATATTACGAATTCTTATTCTGTTGTATCATTCCGTCCATGCTGTACATGTAAAAATTGGCACAAGAGATATTTAATCTGAATAAAAATGCGGCGACACTGTTTGTGCCCTTATATTGAGAATGGGTGTCAGACTAATTGTTAGGCCATTATTTACACACTGTTTTCTACGACGGATGGTGTGTGTGAACAGTCGACAGGTGATGCTCACTCCTCAATGGTTCCTGATCCCATTTCTGATGTTTTGGAGGTCTGTTTTCTCTACTCCTATTTTATATCTTATTTTATGGACTTTTAAGCTTGAATACTTTTACCTGTCTCCGAATATATTTTATGAAGTAGCAGATACCCGACAAACAAAAACAAATTTGTATGGGCTTGTATGTTTTTACAAAGGTTTTTACATATATACATGTATGTGGAACTTGTATGCTTAATTCAGGTTAACTGTGTACTTTAGAAACGTTTGCAAAATCTAGATCAATTGAGACGGTGAAATCGACATTCCCTGGATCTATATGAAAATCATAAATAATTAATAACTATTGACGTAAGAAAACAAGACTTGAAAAGTGCTTAACCACTGATTGGCTTTCCTTTAAGGTTCCGGAGATACGATCAATATTTCTTTTTAAGTTTGAATTGTTTCTAGCACAATGTCCATAACAACAACTAAACTGAACTCAGAAAATAATTATAATATAAAACAATATCATGTCTTATAATATGTTTTTCAATTATACTTATAATGTAAAAATATCACACATTGACGACGATGAAAATATCAAAATGTTGACTTTAAACGGGGTTGTTGAAGTTCAGTAACATCAAAGATGCAGATTTCAACACAACTGGTCCAGTGAAATAAAAAGACATGGTAAAGAGGAAAAGCATTGACCCCTGAAATTCCAGAGATGGGATCACGTGCCTAAGAGGAGTAAGCATTCCATGTTGTTAAGTCACATCTGCTGAGAGTCAGGTATGTGGTGGTCTCTTCCGTGAACCGCCGTACAAAGACAATGACGTAACGAATTGTCTGGACGTGATACACAAAATACGACTCAGCATTGAGTTGTATTGACAAATAAGGTGTTGCTAATCAACGAAGGATTTCTGAAAAGCTGACTGTCAACGGGGTTCTCGAAATCCCTTGTGCTTATTTGTCAGTGTAGCTTGTCTCGGTCTAAAAATTGATTGCACTCAGAACAAATTACCCCTTGTGTAAAAATTAGCAGTATAAGCATGCAGCTGTTGTTAGAATAATACTGCATTAAAATGGGGAGCTGTCGTTGGAAAATCTAAAGTCATCTTGTTTGTAATACAGTTTTAGTTAGCCGATATTGTCTCTCTTTCATCTTCTCTACCCTATACCAATATTCCAGAACCGGTAATGTCTGGCCTCATCACTTTACTCCTCACTTATATATATCAACACTAGGGAAGGAGAAAATTAAGAAGTACTGTAATACAATATATTCGAAAAGCGCGGGTTAAATCAGAAATAAGTTTTGAAAAATCCAAGGAACATCTAAAACAGACTGTCAGACTTTCTGGTATTCTTTATTTTAAGTTCGTTTGAATATATCGAGTCGACACATGAACAGAACTTTTGCTAATTGATAAAATATCGAGGATACATGTGAAAATAGAGTTGAAGATCACAGCAAGTTTTTCTTCTTCTCTTGTAAGTTTATAAATAAAATAATAAATTCTGCTTCATATGAATACAAAAACTTCAAATAAAAGATATTTAAGTTTAAAAATTATAATTTTATTTATACAACAACGCATTATGATAAACGTGATGACTTCAACTTTTCAATCGTCAGCTTCACTTATTTATGTTGCAATATACCTTTATCACCTACATATAGGATTTTGTATCGTTGATTCGATATGCAAAAGAATGCTTCACGTAGAAACCATTTTTAAACAAATGAAGTTTTTGACCAATTATTTAATGAAACGACTTCAACAGTACTATTTAATTTCCACATTTCGAAAATTCTGTGAAAATGACTTTGTTAGCAAATAAAATATATTGTGAAGTTGTTTGTTGACTGATGTTTTTTCATACAAATTGTTAGACAGCATTTAAACACATTTGTACGGAAGCCCTGGAGGGACATTGACTTACTTGTTATGACTTATTTGTTAAAACTTTTTTGTTTTGACTTATTTGTTTTAAGATTTTTTTTGTTAGTTCTAACTAAGTGTAGGTAAGCTATTGAGAACGATTTATTGTAGATTTGTAGTTAAACGTACAAAACTGATGTAATTAATAAATTTTTATCTGTTAATTACGGACGCCCTTGATAGATATTGATTTATTTCTTATGTGTTTTGACTTATTTCTTATATGTTTTGACTTAGTTCTTATGTGTTTTGACTTAGTTCTTATGAATTAACTTTGATTTCTTGTTATTTTGAATTTGTTATGACGAGTTTAGTTTACAAAAAGTGGTGTGAAAGATGAAGGCAACGTATAGTTTCAGAAAAAAAGTCCTTGAATTTATTACTAGCGACAAAATAAAATAGTAGTGATTGTCAGTTTGTCAATCATCATGCAAACTGGAAGTTACATATAAGAATTATGTAATAACTTTTAGAAAATAAGAATTAAGTAATAACAACAAAAAGAATATAAAATTTACTTTAGGAATTACAACTACAATGGACGTTAAACTACAATTTGTAAATCAAAAACCACAGTTAAAATAGGACTAAATATCATTTTTATCATAAAAGTAAGCCAAGCAACAGGTTTTCAGTAGCTTTCTTACACTTAGTTTTAACTAGCAACGAAACATTCACAACACATAAGTCAAAACAAAAAAGTTATAACAAATAAGTCATAACAAGTAAGTCAATGTCCCTCCAGGGCTTCCGTACATTTGTGTACACGTTGAGTTTTTTCTTTTCTTCTCTTGGAGATTTTTATAATTTCTTGTAAATCCTTTTATACAAGAAATGGTATTCATATATTTTTTTTTACTTTTATAAAAAGGGACATTGTATTAATACAATCAAAAATATAAGCAATATCATTCATAATCAAGAATTATATACTGTGGCTTAAAATCAAATTCGTTCATTTAAAATTTTTTTGTTATGAAAACATTTTCTTCTAGATTTAAGGTAAATGTTTGCTATGTATTTATTATATTTGAAGTATAAAAGGGGAAAACGTCGTTCGGTATGCAATATATGCCACAAAGTCTAGCATATTTATTTATTACGGAAATAAATTTGAAAAATACCTTGATTTATGCGAAAATTAAATTTAAAAAGAGAGAAAGAAATTCTTTATACAATGTACTCATTTTGGGGAAAATGCATTTTTTCGTGAAATTATGCAAAACTTTTGTCATTTATAAAAGCATACAAAAATAAACTAAGAACCGCATAGATTCCCCTTAATAAAAAGTAAATATATCGTTATTTTGGAAACATTTTTCTATAGATATAAAACATGTTCTATTTGAAGGCTGTAGGCGCTTTTAGAATATGTCGTCACGTTTTTGTTTGACGATCTCCAGAATAAATGCTATTTCTTCCTTCTCCAAAAATAACAACAAAAAAACCTTGGTCAATCGTTTTTAATTAAATTAAAGAACATTTTATGACACAACAACTCTGAATCCCGTTCAGAAACATGCATGTACATACGACAAAATGAATAAAATTTACAAATAATGTAACAATAGATGTTCATGGACATACAATTAACAAAATGCTTCCTATACTCTACATTTTTAGTTTTCTGACCAAATTCAATATTCGTGTAACTAAAAACTATAGAAAAAATGCACGGTTTTTATTGATAAATGATAATGGAATCTTGCCTGTCAAAATACATAATAAGTAAACAGTAAACATTTTTCTTTTAAACATAAAAAATCGTCTTGTGATCAGCGGATGTAAAAAGAATGATGAATTGAAGTCTACTGAAAATCTTCATAAATAGATCCTTGTGTGATTGGCAAAATCATGAAGTTTTAATTTTACGGAAACTTTCAGACAACCATTTCCGTGAACTAAATATTATATACCATATCTCAATTGCATTGCCTTTCAACGTTAATATACAATTAAAACATGCTTGTGAATTATTGGGATAGTTTATTTTGAAACTTTAATATATATTAAAGTAAATGTTCATCGCTAAATTTGTGTACAGTACGAACAGAAGGCATTTAACTGACAGCTCTGTTTCTCTCAGACAAAGTCCATTATACTAAGTGTTCCAAATCTATAACAGACCCACAATTAAAACAATGCCACTATTAGAACGTAATAAATACACATTATAAACCATTTAGGCTGACATGGAAATAACAAAGAACACAAATATTAACAACCATTTCCGTGAACTAAATATTATATACCATATCTCAATTGCATTGCCTTTCAACGTTAATATACAATTAAAACATGCTTGTGAATTATTGGGATAGTTTATTTTGAAACTTTAATATATATTAAAGTAAATGTTCATCGCTAAATTTGTGTACAGTACGAACAGAAGGCATTTAACTGACAGCTCTGTTTCTCTCAGACAAAGTCCATTATACTAAGTGTTCCAAATCTATAACAGACCCACAATTAAAACAATGCCACTATTAGAACGTAATAAATACACATTATAAACCATTTAGGCTGACATGGAAATAACAAAGAACACAAATATTAAACTACCAACAAATCATAAACAGTGATTGGAGTTGATATTTAACTATCTAATACTTCTGCTTGGGACTAAGTTGGACATTGCTGCAAACATCAACTTTTAGGGTGACGTCACAGGTTGTCACAAATATTGTTGGCTTTCTGAGATCACATGATTTATATAGGTCAACAATAACGCAGCTTTGCCAGGAATATGTTGGCTGCATCCGGGCATTCACGCTTCCGCTGAAGCAGGACGTCACTGAAGTACTTCACTCTTCAGAATGTTTTTGTTATTTTATTGGGCGAAATTCAATGTTAACTTGGCTTTAAGTATTCTCTGAGAGGATTTTTACCTTTTCTTCGTGGACTCTCTGAAACGATTAAGCCATAGTCTGCAAAACATACGAAAGGAATCAAAGGTTTGAATCAGGTACCATTAGACATTGAAACATTTTTGATAGATATCTTTAACAAATGAAATATATGCAGATACGAGGGTTGATCCAAAAGTAATGCCACAACTCTGATAAAATTCCTATTAATAGACGTAAAACAACAAAATTATACATGATGAAAGCTTTATTTATTTCAAATCAGACCTGAAAAACTCGAAACAATATGATGTATACTTTCCGAAATATAGGATTTTAAACAATGTGCGTTTATGGAAGTCGCCGCACCTAAATATAACGTCGTACGACGGATACGCACCGTCATACTTTTAAGCATTTCCCCTTTGTTTCATTAAAACATTTTTGTGATTCGCTAACACTTTCACCAATTCTACTTTCTCTAAGAATTCTTGGTACCATTATACACTCACTCTTGTCATAATTAAGCCCTCTGTCCAAATGTTTTGAACAGTAGCAAACTTAGAAATTCACATGTCACTCTATCCGTCTTTCTTTTTGACAACGTCAGACAACATTGAACGTTTTTGTCCGATCCCCTATCTTTCGGTCTTTCTGTCCTCTGCTTATCATTCAATGACCCATCACCTACACAAAATTGCTGAAACCATCTATAAAGAAGTCTCTTATTTACATTCTTTATTCTGGGAGTATGATTAATTACCGTAACCATCGCTAGTGATGATTCCCATATTTTGAAGCAAAAAATCATTACAACTCGTCAAGCCGTTTTGCCCATTTCGACAATCCCTTTGTTCAATTCAACAGAGTAAAACAACAATGTTTATGATCACAAATACCAATACCGTCATTTAATTTTCAATTAAGGACAAGAAATTGACTTGAATTGTGTCTTTTGAAAAAAAATGAGAGAATAGGTGCTTTTTTAGAATCTTTTAATGTGTTTGTCTTTTTCATTCTCAGAAAAAAATACACTTTAAACGTGACGTTCAATTGGGACGCGGCGACACCCCCTATGCTCTATGTTTTAAACATCTTTAAAATAAAATCAAATAAACATTATTAAATAAAATTTTCAAAGTTAATTTAATTAGATTTGTATTTGTGCATCTTTTGATATGTTGTGTTTGATAATATGACGCCAAATATAAAAGATATGTAAGCTGTGACATTACTTTTGGATCAACCCTCGTAATAAGGCAGTATTCAAGCTCAAAAGTCCATTAAACAAATCAAAATAGGAGCAGAGCAAACACGGACCTACAAAACAACAGATGCGGGATCAGGTGCCATGGAGGAGTGAGCATCCCCTGCCAACCAGTCACACCCGCAGTGTGCTCCTTGTCATAATCGGAATATAACGGTAAAAACTGTCATAAATTCTATAACGGCATCAGTATGAAAACCGTTATTCAACAAAGCAAATGACTCTGCATTATACAGGTACAATTTTTTAAGATGGTAAAATTTATTACTCATTTTTTTTTTATGAAAGTGAATTATGCCTAACAGTCTAGGAAACAACCATTTCATCTTGTTTTCTTTTCTATTAAAAAGTTATGTGAGTGTTTGATTGATACCAGGGATTTATGTTGGCCTCATTTTTCTACACCTTTCCGAGAGCTTATCATTTTTCCCTTTGTATAAAACCACACAATTTTATATCGTTTTATAAAATGCTGTGTTGCAAATGTTCAAATGATGATTAATCTTTGCTTTATTTTACTTGGTTTTTTCATGCTTTCAAGGTTAATGTTGGATGGATTGTTTCAACCATTTATTTTGCCTCATTTTTTTGCCAATTCAAAAAGAGAAAAGAATCTTACCGCTTAAGTTTGTACAGCTTAACCATTCTTCTAAAGTTATTTTCTTATTTGTATTTTCGTCACAATATCTGAGAAAATTCCTGCTACACTTTCTAGTTTCTTTCTGTTTTGGTATAAGTTTGCGGAATTTTTTCACTTCTCTCCTGTCCAAGTTCTGAAAAAGAGGAGAGAAGACACCAGTAATAATTACAGATCATTTCTTTTCATGGAAAGTTAGGACCATATGCATTTCAAGATTCATTTTCCAAACATTTATCATTTTTTTTTTAATCATAATTCTCTTTTTTCTTTGATGTATTTTATTTTTTCAAATATTTTTTTTAAATCGTTGTTTACCCTTCCAAAATATATCAGTTACGTTTCAACAATTGCCACGCACTTCAGTGGAAAGCCATCTTATTTGATTATTTTTTGAATCCTTTTTTAGATTGTTACCATGTTTTTATTCATATCCAGACTTTTGAACTTCCATCTGGCAGCCTTCTGGTAGTCAGATTCATTAGTGTTCGTGTCACTCGAACTGAAGAAAATGAAAATAGATTGAAAGCAACGTAAAAGGTGAGCTTTAAATAAATTCATTTTCAATACAATATTAATAGTAATACATGATGAATGCCAGACCTAGTAGCAAGACCTATCACATGCACAATTCAGGCAAAGTTGATCAAACGATCTGCTTATTTGTGGTAAAGAGAAAATGTTTGACATTCTATAAACTGTGCCCAGCTGTGACTACCCATATAGGGACATGCTGGGGTCAAATAGGGTCAAACTGAAGAACGGTAGATAAGCAGGTCACACACATCAGTAGTATCGTTTTGACAAACAGACGGTGTCACCGCTGGAAGATTGACGGCCCTGGAAGTCGTCCATTACCTACCGTGGGTCCCCCGGGATCAATACGGTTATTATTAGGTCAGGACTTAATGATTGGCTTAAATCAAGTAATGTCCTCTCTCCTCTTATCTCTTATTTTATTCTGACGGTAAGACTGTCTTAATTAACATGTCGACATAAACTGTGCTCAGCCCCCGTGATGCCAGCTTAAATAGTTGATACCCGTCCCATTATTTTGGAACACGTGGAGTTTATGAGCAACACACCTGCGCCAAGTTTTCTTACTACACCTGTAGGCTCTCCAAGTTTTATTGATAATTCAAAGGCAGGTGAAACAATTACACAAATGTTTGGAAATTTAATGCTACATTTGAAACATAAAATAAGAACATTGAATACTGTCATGAATTTATAGCCGTAGTATGACACATCTAAAGGGAAAACAAAATTTTATGTGCAACGTCTTTTCTTGCACCTTTCCTCTTCTCATATTGAATTGAAAACTAAAATATTACAGACATACGTCAGGGGATTATATATATACTTATCAGCTGATGAGATATCGGAAATTTATTTCATTATGCTAATCCCTACATCCTAAAATGTCGCTGTCCTAATATTACATAATCAAATCAAAGATGGACTCCTTTGCATAATCATGTGCGTAGGTTTTAATAGGATGATAAAAATTGAAATGAAATTTTACCTTCCCGTGGAATCGTTCTTCATCTCTGACACAAACATATTCAGTAAACCAGTTAAAAACCTAGCTTTCTTGACAAATGGACAACCTTGAAAAATCAAAGAAAAGAGCCTTGTAAATATAGAAAATGTGTACACTCACCTTGATTTTTTAAAATAATTATGCAATATATAAAATTATATCGGAAAAAAGATTAAGTTAAACTACTTTTTGTATGGTAAAAAGTAAGTTAATTTTCAGATGACGTACAAAAATGCTGCTTCTGAAATTTCGGTAATCCAGCCAAAAAATCAAATCTCACAGAATAATGACACAAAATTACACGTGAAAATGACTAATGTTTTTACCTGAAGAAAAGTATTAACACTATAAGTACACTTTGATGCTTACCAGGCATTTCACGCTCTGTTGTAATATTGCACTGCGGAGGGCCTTTAGAGGCCAGTTTAGCTTTTATGCCTTTAAGCGGCATCCCTGTTTCTCGATCAGCGCACCAGCAATATTTGTGACATTGCACGATGTTATATTTGCCGTCAGGAGAACACTGCGGTATATAGATCCCCCCGTCAGGATCCGCCGACCGTTGGTTGAGGGAGAGAGCCCGCTCCTCAGAACAACTCTTTCTTCCAAGGCCAACTGTACAAGAAAAATACCTTGTTAAAGGTGACTTTGTATTACTGAATCTAAATATACAGATTTAATAAATTTTGTAGAAATATTGAACAATTTATTGTGAAAGATTACAGAAGCAAAGCTAGACTTTTTGGGTTTTGTCAATAAAAAGCGTGTAACACCATCCCCTCGCTCTGAAAAGCTTTTGCGGTAAGCCGGAACAGGTCAGGTGACAGCGCGTGGTTTTAGACGCCACCACCAGCGGGTGTCGAAGCAGAGATGGAACGAGGTGACAAAACATTTAACCAATAATTTTAATTTTACCATAGTCCCCTCACTAGCGACTGCAATTAGGGTTAATGCATGGAATTCTTTAAAATTGAAATAAATGATTACTAATGATTCCTCTATAACCACATTTGTAAAACAATGTCTACAACTCATGTATAAAACTAAATAAACCTTTTATTAGTAACTACTTTTTTATTTTAGAAAAAAGTATTGAATAAAAAAGATCAGCAAGTGCTTTAAAGAAGTCAAGTTCGAATCGAAGAGAATAAGAAAAATGAGATAAAAACGTGCATTGGATAGTCTCAGAAGGAAAATACAACATCCCTTCAACCTTAAATCTTAACTGATATTACAACTGTTATTGTTGAAAAAAGAAATATATAACCGATATGGATGAGATCATCTTCTCTCGTTTATCTTTAATACTTTATTAACTATTTGTGGACATTACACATGGACTGAAATGGCGGCTAAGTACCTTCCAAGTCTGGTCTAGAATCGGTGACAAAGATGGATTGCCTGGGATTAAGGCCAGTCAGGGAACTCCCGGCCTCGCCTATGATGGGCTGACGGACCTTTGGTGAGGCTGTGTTTGTAAAGAAATCAAGAAATTTATTCAGTTCTACTTCACAGTACTGTCAACGAATATACATTGTCCTTCCAGTTACTGAATGGGTCGGTTTCAAAGAGGGAATAACCAAATGGTGATAACGAACAGTATTCAAACTCAAAAGTACATAAAACAATACAAAATAGGAGCAGGGCAACCACCGACCTCCAAAACATCAGAGGTAGGATTAGGTACCATGGAGGAGTGAGCATCCCCTGTCAAACCCACTGTGAGCTCCTTGTCATGATCGGAAAACTAACAGACATTCCGTCGACAATTCAGTGTGTAAAGAATGGCCACACAATTGAAAGGAAAACGTCAATTAGCATCTGACCGAATGATAGATTGTTTTTGCTGACATGATTATTGTATCGACCATAGAACTACCAAAAGGGTGATTGTAAACGAGACTGTTGATATTCTTCTTTCAATAAACAATGGTCACTTCCATTCAAGTGCCAACTCCATGAAATCAATTGAACTTGAAATGAAAGCTACCACAGAGTCTGACACACTTGTTTCATATTTGGATATTTAATTATAAAAAGACTTCAAAACTAATCGAACAACAAAACTTGATGATTAACGTGATGACGTCAATTTCTGTATCGTCAACTTGAATTAATTGTGTACCATTAAACCCTTATCACCTGGAGAGAAGGTTTATCTCTCCTCTTCAATTCGTTATGCAAAGGGATACTCGTACGAACAAATTTGAGAAACGGGGCAAGCATAGGGTTGATGAATCAAGGATATCAACAACCTCTTTTGAAGTCATCGTTTCGAAAGTTCTGTGGTTGATACAATTGACCTTACCAAGTGCAAAATATGATTGATAAAATGTATGGAGATACCTCAAAAGTCCATTCAAGCAATACAAATCGATGGCTTAGCAATCACTGAGCCCCAAAATAATCAGACGTAGGATCAGGTGTCATGGAGGAGTAAGCATCCCTCTGCCGAACGGTCACACCTGCTGTGTGTTCCTTGTTATGATCGGGTTAAAGGGAGAAAACGACAATTCAGTTTGTTTCAGTTTGTATATAATGAACTAACAAGAAGTATGAAGAACGACAAGCAGCATTTGACTCAATGACCGGTTGTATTTGCTGACAAGGTCATTGTACTGACAAAAAACTTGCAAAATTATGATTTCAAATGAGACTGTTGATATCTTTGTTTCATTAATTTGCTTTTCAATAGCTTATCTCTTTTTAAAAATTGTTCACACGTATTGCATTCTCTTCTGTATTGAATCTACTGAGAGACATAAACCCCATATACACAGGTGATAAAAGTATATTACTCCATAGGTAAGGGGAGTTAAAGTTGAAAATTAGATGGATATAATCGCTTTTATCATAAAGCTTGGTCGTTAGATTACCATTAACATCTTTTTCTAGAAAAATATCCAAATATGAAACATATGTCAGCTAGACTCTGTGGTTGCTTATATTTCAAGCTCATTGGGATAAGTCGAATGCTAATTGACGTTTTCATACCGATTGTTTAACCAATCTTTATACAAGGAATTTCTTTGTATTTCCCGTTTGCTCAAACATGAGTGGAGCACCAGTCGGCAAGGGTTACTTAATTCTTCATGGCATCTGATCCCACCTCTGATGTTTTAAAGGTCTGTGTTTGTTTTGCTCCGGCTTTGTGTTGTTTTAGTGGACTTTTGAGCTTCAATACTGTTCGTTATCTCCGTATTTCATAAATGTGCAAAATAAGTTTTGAAAAAAATATTCATACGTAGACATGGCAGACCAAATCCTCATTAGGACTGGATCTTAAATAAATAAATCAATAATCTTCTTGTATATTCGTTGACAATGTAAGTAGTTACAAAGAATAAGGTCATACAAGATATAGCAATTAATAAATGTAATTAATAGTTATTTCATCTCATTAATGAAGAAGAAACGAGGATATATGTACAGAAATGATATATTTGAATGACACTCATTAAAGCAGAGAGAGAGAGAGAGAGAGAGAGAGAGAGAGAGAGAGAGAGAGCATAAAAACAGAGAGATCAATGTCAAAAATTGTAATCATAAATTCAAAAAAGTTAAGAGAACTTACAAGTGAGATTTGATATAGGAGTATTGAGTATCACACACAGACCATGCGAAGTAAACTATGATATCATGCAATCCCAAGCATGCGCAATTGCCAAAAACGCAAGATATATTACATTGAAAGTGCTTATAATCATCCAAGTAGAATACAGAAATAAAAGTTATGAATTAAGGATTGCCTTTAAATATTGATAAATATATATATTGAGAATAAATAAACAATACCCTCTGGTTCCTCTTTTTCTGGAGTCTTCAGCGTTTGGTCTGTTGTCAGCGAGAAGAAAATTCGACGAGAAACTACATAAAATGGGGTAAACCTAATTGTTCTGGTGATTACTCACTGTTTTACTCAAAGGTCGTCATTTTGTTAGTAAGTGAAGAAAATAAAACCCGAGTCTGATCCCGTTCAGCTATCTCCACCCTCCCTTCTAAGACATTTCATTTTTATAGATACATATTTTTTTCTAATTTACTAAAGGTATTTCTCTAGAGAAAAAAAAGATAATGCTCTACACTTATCAAACTCGGATTTTCGAAGAGAAAGCATGCAATTCGGGACTTTAAGCACTCACCATGAATTAAAAAAAAATAATCAGTCAGAGATGTTCAAAAAGCATAACCAAACGTCAAGTTGAAAATGAGGTCATCGTTATTTTGTCTTTTTATTTTGGTTAGATAGAAATGGGTCTTCATTCAAACAAGGTCTGAAAATTTTAGTCAAAATATATAAATCATTTGAAATATTACAGAAGTCTTTGAATTACCGAAGGTCATCTTACTTGAAAGCCTGGTCAGTTTACAAGCAGAGGAAAGAGCAGAAAGGTTTACATTTGAAAATTGCAAATAAAGAGGGCACTGTTTGTAATTTAGATGATCAAGTGTCTGTTCTTCCTCAAATGGTCAACACTTTAATGGAAAGCATCACTTCATCACATAAATTTGTAAACAGTACCCATTGCAATCCTCAAATGTCGAAATTGTAACACACAAGATTAGGACGGAGATATGAAGAGTCGTGACGCTGACATTTCTTATTGGACTTAACAATAAATCAAGATGGACAATGGGTAAAAATAAACTCGATAAAAACATAGTTTTATCTTTGAATTTTGATTCAATTTCAAACTGGATCTTCATAAAATCGTCCTTTTTCTGCTCTCGTTTCGGAATGACAAAAAGCCATCAAGAGATTTGTCACATTATCAAAGTCAAAGCTGCCAACAAATTTATCATATTGTCTTCGTCAAAATGTTGCAGTTTTACTGCACATCTTATTGTCAGTGAAAAATTATTATAGTATAAGTATTTCAAAATCCCTTCTCAAAATATTGAGACTCGTCTGTAACTAACTACAACAGACCCAATCATGCCAAAAATAACTACTAACAATCAATTGCATTCCACACAACATCAACATGCTAAGAATATAAAAATTGGATCGGAGTGTGCATCTAGTCAAAACCATTCATGAAGTAGATCTAATGCAAATAAAAATAACATAACCGTGTTTTACAACATCTAAACTTACAGGTAGGCTGAATTATGATTGGCGGGCCCCTATGAATCCCTACACAAGAAAACTGAGAACGTCAGTACTTCACATACATGTACACTGAAGACATGGTTTTATAAGGGATATTTTGCAAGTCTTATTAGTAAGCAGTATTGTTATGTGATGTCATCACCGAAACGAGGCAAAGTTTGATTTCACCAGCTGTTGAATGAATCCAACAGCTAACAAAATCAAGATAATAATCATTGTATAATCTCACAAAAAAATTCACAATAAGCTTATATTATCTTTAAATCTTATAATGTTCTTTTACTTTATAACATTATCCTAAATAACTTTTAGAAATGTAAATCATTCATAAATATCTCTTGCTTATGATTACTATAGAATTTTATGAAACGAAGAATTTTTTCTCATTCATCCAAAATAACCGACTACTCACTGCTGTTAGCATTGGTCGTGAGGCAGAATGACCACTCCTTCCGAACGATCACTCGATTCCGATCGGAATCGCAGTACTCCAGGAATCTGCGCGCGCAGGCCTTCGGTTGTATTAATTTCCTGACCATTCTTTTAATTGTCCTAGTTTCTTTGCGTTTCAAGATATTGTCTTTATTTTTATCAAGCTGATCAAATTTCCACTCAATCACTTTCTGTGCTAAGGTTTTGTCTGTGTCCACTGAAATGTAAGTTCTTGTCTATGACATTCAGTAATTACAAATATTAATTTATGAAATATTTAAAATTCATTGATTTACGATTTATTAATTATCTTTATTTTCATATGAAAATGTATTTTCCTACAGACTTGAAAGAACAAATACCATAAATAAGTTTAAAGTAACCAGCAAATATTTGAATAAAGATATGTTTATTTAATTAGCATGATTAGGGAGAATCTTGCTTGTTGGAACTCACACAAAGCCGCTCCAGACACAGTTACGGCCCTTTTATATTCGTCAGTGAACACCTTAACGATATTCTGGTTAAATTTCTGTTTGTCAGCCGTTTTACAACCTGCGTAATAGAAACAACAAGATCTCAGCTGGTACAACCAGGGAGCATTGCATCTCATACGATAGGCTCGCTGGATTGGTGGATATAAATAGATCCACTCTCTTAAAATATTTGAGAATAAAGATTTTACAATTCATAATTAGAAACATATTATAAGGGTCAATTACCGGGGCAAAAGTTTCAAATTAAATCATAACCAAGAATGTTCTACTTGTTCATTCATAATGCTGAGGATCTAGGAAATGCAATTTGCGCAACAGAGGAATCTAAATTGGTTTGTAATGATAATTGTGTAAAAAAGCCGTCACTGGGTTCACTATTTTTAACAAATAAATGAACAGAGATGTTTTGTTTTATAAGACAAGAATTTTAAGTGAGGAAAAAGAATGGTAAGTATTATCGTAACGTGTGGCTTTCTGGAGCGATGAACCACGATTAATTTACTTTTACTTAGATATTAATTGCCCTCTTCACGCCTATATATATTTATAGAGCACCATAATCAAAGTTTTTTACCTGAAAATCCAAAGATAATAAATATGAAGTAAATTTTACATAGAATTTACTGATGCTAGTTTCCTCTGTTGTGAAAGAAATCATTATCTATCCTGATCCGATATTTAACAGATGCCTTAAAAGTTTAAACAAAGGTTTTAAAATCTGAAATTAAAAGTAATAGATGAGAAACTCTTAATTTGTAAGATCTTGTGAATCAGCCATTTTGTGGTATTTAATTGGTAAAAAATTAATCAAAGGTTTGATTCTCATGACGAGAAATTCGATGCAAAAACTCATTAAATTATATTAAAAAGTGAGAAGTCCAAAACTAAAGTAATCATTTTATAATCCCCCCCCTCCCCCCGAAAAACTCTAAAAACTGCGTTTTAAATTTGTGACCTAGTCGGTGTGATTACGGTTCACAAATTACCATGGTCTTCTTTATAAACGTACTATACTTACTTTTCCGTCTCTTCTTTTTCTTCTTTTTACCCCGGTCTCGCCGGGGCTGTCTACGTTTTTTCCCAATTTTCTTTCCTGTCAAATTGAGGGAAAATTTTCAGCACTCCGAAAAGACATATGAATACACGTACATTGGTTTTCTTAAAAAAATGATAATTTATCTATTTTTTAATTTTCAATTAATAATAAGCACTAAATTACTAAAGAAAATCCAATTTAATTAATAAAGTTTATCTGATTTATCTAATTTCTCCATCTCTGTCCACAAAAAAAGATATTAAACTCTTCATAAGACATCATAGACAAAACGTCTATAAATTTGAAAGCTTGTAATAAGTTTTACCAGTTATTTGATAATTTTCTATAGGTAACTTCCGAGTATATAATTGTGAAAGTTTTTCCAACATAAAACGAGGGGGAAAGACAGAAGCAATGAGTAAGAGTATTTACACATTTTTCTTGTCTGTTTATATAAATATTTGTAAACATATCATGCAGGACGACAAAATGACCATGCTGTTAGAAAATATACAACTTTTTCGTGATTTTTACCAAACAATGCTAAGATGAAACGACTGGAAAAGATAGGTAACAAGGATGCATTTTGATTAATCACGAAAACATATATTTGGACTGTTGTTAAGTCAACAAAGCTCTGTGTGTTGTCATTGACAACAATATGGCAGAAGATCCACAGGAAGCGTCACAGGAACCGGATGTAGCCAGTTAATACCTCTACAGGCCGGGTCTCTCCCGTGCACCGGGGTCCCCTCGATTGGTTTTCCGTCAGGGGTCACACACCAACAAAAACCACTTGTTACATGGCATTGTCGCTCCGCGTACGTACCGTCATCCTGGCATTCTGGGATGTACACCCCGAACGTCGGTCGTCTGGCGATCTCTAGCGCCTCGTTCCTCTCTCGGACGCAGTTACTGCTGGTTCTATCGGCTTCTGACGCTGAAAAATAGACATATTCAATTACATATCGTTAATGAAAATCTTATAATGCTTTGATAAGCAATATTGTTTTAAAAGAAAATATTTTCCAATGGCAAAAAATATGCAAAGTGAAATACACTATGAATTCATATGAATTAAGCAGAGCAGGTTAAATAATAATTCGAAATTATGCATTATGAAGTTAAGTCTTTTTTAAATACAGATAATGAAATTCAGAGGATGTTTCTCGTGGACATTGATTCATTCATATTTTTTCCAATACCATTACATGTATATTACTTCAAAATATAATGTATTTATTAAGCAATAATTGAATTAAACTCATCCTCTTTGAAAGTCACTACGAACATAACCGAATTTATTTGTCGCTAAAATCTATGAAGTTTTAAAAAGACTACAGTTTTCTTCTGAAATAATCAATAATAAAATAATTCGTGGGCTATATGTTAATTTTTTTTCTTTTATTTTTTGTTTCTCATTTTCTAATTTTTAATTTACTGTTGTTATTTACTGTCCTCCCTGATATATTTTATTTTAGTAAATAAAGCTTATCGGGAATGATAAATACTTCAGGAGGCTGGGGTCGAAAAATTTACCATCAAATATATAATAATTTTTTAGATATATCTTTAGCTGTCAACTATCATTTGGCAAAGAAAAAATTCATAATTTTAGTTTTAAAATTTGATCATTTTTTGTATATCTTTAAATGGAGCTCTTCTTCTAAAGGAGACCAATATAGTCTAAAATAGCTACAAACACCAAGGCCTCTTAATCAAAATGAAATCAATGTACAACAAGAACTCCAACATTATATAAACTTATACATTAATGATTAGAATTAAGCATATAATCAAAGTCCAGAGGTTAATATACAGTTAAATTAATAACTATTACATAATTAATTTACATAATTAATGTACATTGTATATTCATTTCATGAGATTTGAAATAGTCTGGAAGACGTTAAACTATGCGAGAAAATAAACCAATTAAATTGCAGACTATTAAATTTTTTTTTTTTTTTACTTCATTCCCTTTCTATTCTTTGTCCCATTCATTATATTATTAATACCCTTTTTGATTAGAAAGGCAAAAAAAATTATTAACTTCCTGAATTTGTTTTACCAAAAATGATTAAAAATTTAACACTGGTCAAAAGGAGGAAAAAATACTCTTAATTTTTCCAAGAAAATTAATTTGAATTTATAAAGATTACAGTAAAACAAAGGCCACGAAAAAAAGAAAAAAAGCCAGTAAATACAGTACCGCGTTTTGGCGCTCTTTTGGCTGCTTCTACCACGACACTTAGGGCGACAACAAGCCTTAGAAATTCAGTGTAATACATAGTCCAAGACCACAGTCAAGTCTCTAAAGTGTCTTAAGAACATGTATCCATCCTAACTATCCAGCCCTCACAAAGAAGTGTGAAAGAATTTTTCAACGCAATGAACTTTTATTCCATATTTTTAAAAACAAAAAAAAAATTTTTTTCTCACATTTCATGAATAAATGACATATTCTGAAGTTCGAGGTCGTCCAATAATAGTCTTGGTATATCGAACGCCGGCGATTCCAGGCTTCCTAAAGAGTTTTGACAGGTTTAGCGAAATTCCGCCTCTCCTTCACTTCAAATCTTTGACATGCTTTGCATAAATTTGGAAACATTTTGACATGCCAGATTGAAAGAGAACTTAATTTATAGAATAATGTTTGTCGATATAATTACTATCTACTGTAGCAGAAAAGTGTCAGTGTGCTTTAAAGGAAAGAATTTCTCCGAAGAAACGAAGAAAACGTAAAGATCACGCTGGGCTTCCCTAAATTCTCCCTGAAGCTTTATGTATTTGTTGAATAATTAGTAATAATCTTAACGATTTAAATTACAATTAGTCTTGTCCTGTATTTGTTTGTCCTGTAACGTACTTCATTGTATGCACTTTTATTATAAATAACTCAAAACATTTCATTAACTTTCTAATTGTGCCATGGGGTGCGATCAGATAATTTTCAATTTTCTGCATAATATTCCTATTAATTTCGACAACAAAGTGAAAATCAAATTCATAATTCGTTGTTATTCCGAACACATTAGTCGTATTAAAATAAGATTTTGTCAAATTTTATTGACACTCTTAATTAACAAAAGTAAATAGGGGGACTAACACGAATATTATACCATGTATTATTCCTTTTTATCACGACTTAATCGGCGATTTATGATTCGACAAGCGAGAGGTGCACTCGTGACGATGCGGGGTTTGTTCGCCGACCCTCTTTATGTCACCTTTTCAATATACCTGTTTCTCGTCGACACACCTGAAGTGGCCAGGTGTGTTCTCTGCTCCCGTTTATCGCTTGTTACATATCACCCTCTAACCTCAAGTACTCAGATAAAAAGATAATATTTAGAGGGTCTAAGCGAGTGTTTGCGCAAGTGCTTTGACAAGTGAAGTCGTGGTCAATTGCTATGTTGACTCTAAGCCGTTAAATTATAAATCTTAATTTTCTACTTTTAATGCATTCTCTACAAAAGAGAAAAACATGGAGGATTACTTTACTTATATGTTTTGTATACATCTACAGTATTAGTGGTGCACACCTGCTTGGTGGGCGTTTCCCAGGTGTAAAAATGACCAGATGCCCACCTGTGTCAATAAGTTCTAAAACACCTTAAATTCAATATATGAAATCCTACTATTTTATGATATAAAGGGAAAAAAAAACAGTAAAAAAAATCTCGGATAACATGACATTAATCGCACATCCTCGTTCAATGTACCTTACTAAATATTAACATTTAATAAAGTTGATTGACACCTTTCAACTTCAAAGCAATTTGTGAATGTTAGAACATTGATCATAAACGTTTTGCTCTTAAAAATCAAGTTCAGCCGTCTGAAATAATATATATTTTTCACAATGCCAAATTAAAGGGTGAAATTTTGTGAAGTAAATACCCTCATAATATTGAAACATGACGTCGAAGATGCAGAGTTTTGTATACATTGTAAGTATACTCTGTAAATATGCTGAAAGAGAACGCATTAACCCGTAACATGACTAGCTTCTACAAAGTATCTGACCATTTTTCCACCGCATTGAGACATACCTCGCATAATTTGGCTTCCAATTTTATATATCTATGCTCAACATTAAAGGAAACGATGACATTTCATTTTAAAATACGGTCAGAATGCCAATCTCGCTATCTGGAATTTTGACGTACATTTAAAAATCAAGTAGGAATTATTATTACGGGCTCTTCGTACGACATAAAATCATTATCTTTTGATTTAAAACGAAAAATACACAAATTTTGCTTTCTTTTCTGTTATTTTTTTTAATGCTTCTGCTTATCATTTAATTTTATACTAGTAAATAAATGAATGAATAAATAATTAATAGACAACTTAATTCAGCAAAAGCGACTCTGAAGTTCGGGACTTATATTTCTTTTCTCCTGTTTTATTTTTAGCGTGCAGATGTACTTTGCTAAATGACAAACGTAGAAGAACATATGTCAAAAACAATCTTTTTAGATTAGAATTATCTTGGTGTTTTTAAACAAAATATGAAAATTGCAAATAAACGCAAAATTTACTTTTCAATTATTTCTTAAAAGACAGCTTTATTGCATCTCACCTTCAGGTTTTAGAATTATAAAAGCAAATTACATTTAATTATTGTTAATCTTTGAATAAGTAATCAACTTTAATAAAAATAGTCAAAGTAATAACTTTAAAAAACCCTCATATAAAAGTGAAATGCATAGAATTTGTTACTTTAAGAACATTTATAGTACACCGATGACAAAAGAACTGAACATATCAAAACTGCACCGAATGAAACTGTCTGGAAAAAAAAGATACATCATGCAATAGATCTCCGAAATGACATTGAGAATCTACAGAGTTTAGGATAATTAACTTGACACATATTGATGACAGACAACACGCGGCAAATAAGATACTTTTGATTTCAACACTTTCACGCACGCTTTCTAGAACTAGTACTGATTCCAAAAATGATATGAATGTAATAATCACTTTTTCACGACAATCTGTAAGCTATTAATTTCGTCTGAAGACAATCACATTAAATGTTTAAGTTAACTTCTAAGGAATTGATACAGATACACTTTGAATAAATGGAAATTACTTGAGTATTCTCATTTCGATATTGACATTCCTTTATATCAATATGGATGATAATTAAATTTCGTGACTATTGTTTGTTAGAAAAATCTGTTTTGTTAAGTTCACATATATACTTCATTATCAATCTTTCTTTAATGACGAAGACATCACAGAAAATAATCAGTTACGTGAACTGCATCTTCGCTATAGCCAAAGGTTTCTGACACGCTGGCGAAGATGCGTGTACTGCCAATCAAAAAAAAATTTTTTGTTGTTGTAAATTTACAAATACGAGATTCCAGTAACTTATTCTGATTTTTTAAAGCACTCATAAAGCATTATGCTTTATTAGATGATGATATTTTTAAAGCAAAACCTAATTTATATTGAAGAGACAGATGTGTAAAAACAATTAAGAAAGAGAACTTTCTGTGTCGCTAGCGACAGGGAAATATAGGTAGGATTGTGTAAGACTCGAGTTCATCTTGTAGAACTGAAAATTCCTTTGTGGAATCTGAAAAAAATGTCAGAGTCAATTAAGCAGCAGATTTTTTATCCCAGAATTAAAAGGAAAATTAAGGTCACAAAGTGCTCATTAATATCTGAAGGTTTTGTAGCACATAATCAGCACATAATCAGAATACTTAGTATCAAATATCGATTTATTGATTAAAAACTAAAAAAAAAAACCTTCCCATGCAAACAAAAAAAAAAAAAAAAAAAAGCTCAAGCTCAGTTAATACAAATGGTCTCCGAGCATTCAACAAGAAGATGCTAAGAGTTATTTTCAAATAGTACATATAAACAGTCAATATGTTCAGTATCACATCCCTAATTTTGGAAATGAAAGAACGCAGATGAAACTTATTTTGGGATGTGGAGGGGGCATCAAAGGTCATGTTCAACATCTCCTTAAGGTTCACTGACCTCCATAATAAGAGAGATAACTCCCACTAACTGATTTTTTTTAATTTCTTTAATAATTTCAATGGTATATATAGTAATATCTGCTGAATTATTCTATTATCAATTTTAATTTAAGGTTAAATATCTCTACAAGATAATCATTAAAGCAACAATTTATATGAGTAAACAGAGGGACAGTGTGTACCAGAGGGCTGTAAAAGGCAATGCTAAATAATGCTAAATAATCAAAGAATTATAAAAACATATAACATTTCGATAAGACAAGGTAAACTGGAAAGATATCGAAACTAGACGATAAAATGACTAATTCTGTAGAGAACTGTCTATATTGTCAGATGGAGTCAAAGCGTTTCCTTACAACGACGCGTATCTACTTTGTTTTGTCTATGATCAAGTTTAATGAAAGCAATAGTTTACAATCGGAAAACACTAGTCCGCGGACAAATCTGTGATTGTGACAGGTGTAGCTACAGGTGAGACAAGGAACCAGATGTTCTGGCACCTGTGTCTGAAGGTAGCGTACAGGTAAACAGCCCTCCGTGTGATAACCAAAACGTCGTCCTCTAAAATAACGTGTCCAAGTACTTGTTTAACTGCTTGTTTTAACATCTACACATTTCTCTCTGTCAGAATTTGTTATAATCAATCATTTAAAGTGAAACAATAAAACATAATTGATTCTAGTCATTTGCTTTAAATTAAAATTCGAAGAACTCGGTATTTGCATTTTTTTAACTACATTACGGATAGATTGAAAGAAGATATCTTGCCAATCCAAGCTTTAATGCTGCGGAGAATTCCGTTCATTACTCTATCAATGCTACTTGTAATTAAAACTTTGATAATTTCAAGTGCAACGCCATAAACGTTATCCTTACAATTCTACCTTATCACTCGAAATACAAAGACTGAGAAGCAAAAATTCCGACTTCAACTCTTCAAAACTATTACTGAATTTTCTATAGTGTAATTTTTATTGGTATGCCAGCAATCTATCTAAGCCGTATTCCTTAAGTCTTGAGTTGTTTACATTGTTAATAACTATAAACACCGGCATTCATCCTCATTACCTACATATAAATTGACAGATCACTGAAAGTTTTAGAATTTACAAATTTCTTAGTTACAAATTCGCAGTTAGTTTAACACGAAGAGATCTAGGTTGAAGAAATGCCCGATTTCTAGCTACATTTTGTGCGTGAGCACCGGTTTTTTTTTTTTTTTTTGGTATCTCTAGAACACGAAGATGGACACGATACTCTTAAATATTAAATATTTGTGATGCGTGTTGTCTTTGACACCCATTCACGTCTTCAGATCAAATTTGCAGTTTATATGTACAATATTGCGTTATTAGCCATCCAAACTTGCAAACAAGAGTTGATTTTTTTTTTGAATCTAAGACAAGGGAGATAAGCCAAATTAAAAGTTCCACATTGCATAAACACATAAGACAAATCAAATCAATCATATGAATTTATGTGATAATCTGAACAATAATGTGTCATGGATGTTTCCTGCCACGATGATGAAAATTGCAATGTAGTGGAGTATAAGATTTTTTAATTGTATGCCTTTATAACACAAGTCAGTGCGGCTTTAGTAAAATTCAATCTATTCGTTGTCCGTTTCTGTACAAATACAAATTACATAAATACATGTTATACATTACTAAATGTTGATGTCGTCAATGATCGATACCTCTTTTAAATTCATTTTACTTCGCACAAGCGAGATTTTAAATTTTTGACTTAAGAAATGTTAATTTCTGGAATCCCAACAGGTGCCTGTTAATCACTGCGTTAGATAAAGGGCCGGGATGACGTAGGCCTGAGCTTGTTTTGTTTTAGGCTGGATTTGTCAGCTGGAATCCACCCACCGCCCGCGAGGTAATTGTCAGCTCTGGATTATCTACTCTTGATTAATTTCGTGTAAGGATAATAACCGACATTTGATGGTGAAAAGTATGTGACAGTATTTCTAAACATTGGGATTAGTTACAATGCTTATAAGGCAAACATTGCAATGTCTCGATGGTTCGTTCTGGTGAAGGTTTTAAGAGTCCGTAAGGTGAACGTATCTTTCATCTTACTCAGACAAGACTCTGGGTTCTATAAGTACTGTCAAACAAACTGACATTCTTTGAAGAAACTTTAACACGATTTTGAAATGGACATTAAATGGGGGTAAATTTACATAAAACCTAAGGTCTTTTTTTAGTGCCAACAATACAACTTTATTCCGACAATTTGAAATCATGTGTTCTAGCACAATCATTGGCTCGAACAGAATCCCAGCAGAAAAATCCACCAATCAGAAATTGATGCTTACTCACGTGAACACGGTCCTTTCCGCTTGACCTTGATCTTCTTTTTGTCACATCTTTTGGCACGCTTGAGTTCACACCGGTGTTTGTAGGTCACCCCATCAGATCCACAGACGGGCCTGTACTTCTTCCGAGAGCAGTCAATCTTACAGCTGGAATTACTTAAGGCCCGAAACATGTTCTACAAAGTAAAGATTTTCTTATAAGCAGAGTTTGTGAAAAAAATCTATCAAATAGTTCTTAAGTTGTACTGAAAATTTTTTCCATGTTCTTTGAAGGAAACGTGCTTAGCTGCAGAGAAATAAACACTCGTTAATTTAATTTTTTTTTTAATCAAGGACCTCCAACATTGATAAATCAACAATGCAACTAAAACGTCTTAAAATACTTTAAAGAGGATATTGCTTTTTTGCCTTTCAAAGATTTAGTGTCACCGAAAGACACAAATGGAACCCATGTTCTCTTGGAGAATTAAAAGAAATTGTTCGACATAAATTACCTACTATGTCTTAAAAGTTTCTAAAATAGAAATATTTATAAAAATTCAATCCTGCATGTTTGCAGTCAATGTCGATCTCTCAAGACAATGAAGGCTACTAAATGGAAAGCTTTTGGGTGGCCGCCCTTCAATATGTCATTTGAGAATGAGGACAAAACATGGCACTTATAGAGTTTCCTGGTATTCCATGTGATCAAGGAGAAACTAAAGAATAGAGCAGCATTTTGAATATTTATGCATGCATGGTCAATTATTTTGAAAAAGATCACAAACTTATAAAAAGAAATCTCAGGAATATATTTTTTTAAAGATGGCACTGAGTTTAATGTTATTTTTTCACTTTACCAAGTGCAAATTATAAATTATATAATTAGCAATGAAATAAATTAATTCTCGTTTCCGTGCTTAAAAAGAAATAAAATTTCGAATGTGGTGAATCTCGAATATTTATTTAAACTGGGTGAGCAATGAGATAGAAGTTTTCAAATCTTAGCAGGATATTATTAAACAGCTCTCTTTTATTTTACACTAAATATTGCATATAAGAAACACAATGGGGGGTATTTGATCTTGCTGCACGTGGAATTCGGTCCGGGGCACTGGATTACTGACAGATTTTCTTGGTATCAAGTAAACAAGAGGTCTTCGTTATTTGTGATTAACAATTATTTATGTCTTTGGAATCTAGAACTCGGTAGCTACTCCAGGCACTCCACAGATGTCAACACCTGCGGAAGACTTAAAACCCACTTAAAACGACAAGTCGTAATCACAGAGCCAGGCTCAATATCGTATTGTCTGGGCACGAACTGCTGGCTAACATTGTTCCTCCAATACCCTTAGAAAGCCGGGCACGCACCTGGCCAAATCCTTAATCTGCCGTCTCTTACTGAACTCACGGACATCCATTAGTGCAGATCGCCAACAGTCATATTGGATTAACACGTAAGTCTTAAGAGGGATCAGCAGGACTACATGTATATCGAATGCTGGATTTAAATACACAAATTATCAAAACAAAATGTCATAAAATGACAGTTTTCCTTGTCTCTAGTATTCTTGATTTATTTTGTAAAAGTTTTGTTTCATATGCCAAACATCAGCATCACATGCCAAAAATCGGTAGAATGCAAAAAACTGAGCCAGGGGATTAGGTGAAAGAGATAATGCAACTTGAATGAGAACATCAAACAGAAGATAACATCTCGTTACAAGTCACGAACAGCATCTCGTCAGATGACAGAAAACGTGGATTTGCGAGAGATAACCAAGGGAGATAACTATGGGATCATACAGTGGATTCACAGCAATGCTGGACGACCTCCAAAGCGGGGATTGCTCGCCACGCAGAATGCCGTAATTCACCACAACAAGCATTATAATGGAAAAGATACAAACTAATAAATCACCCGACTTACAACTTATCACATGCCTGACATAGCACGCGGCTCAGACTGGCATATTATGAGATGTTAATTAATTACTGCAATCTGACGAATGTTTCTAGTAGAACACACAAGGTTAAACTGGAAAAATACCGTTCAAAAAAATTGAAATCGTTTGTCTGATATACATTTAATAATGCTTATAATATAATTACCATATCAGGACAGATCTTGCACTTTATTTATTACGAAAAGTACAGTGAACTGTTTTCATGAAAAAGACAGTTTTTACTTTGATATTCCCACCATGAGGAAATTTGGTACAAGATATTGCATTATTTGTGTACGAGGAGAAACATACTGCAAGCATGAAAATACCAAGATATCATGATTAATATGCAGTTAATGAACCGGAAATACTTCGATGAACAACGGAAATGTACATTGGTAGCAGCAGTATACGTTTTGCAGAATATAGAAAGTCACGAACGAAAAAAAAAGAGAACCAAAACGTCATGATTAATGAAGCCGAAAAAGTCCTCCTCCGTCAAACTACAAGTGACATTTATATTTTAAGAAAAAAGATAATAAATTGCCCATTCAGGGGCCACAGATGCGGAACAATCCAAGATTAAGAGTACTCTAAGAAGAGTATAAGCAGAACCTACTCCAGTTTATACCGAATCTAATACGTTCTTCATATAATGGCGAGGCCAGCCGGCTCAGAGGAAGAACAATCGAGTTTAATTAGGAATTTACAGGCAGGCACTCGAGAAACCTTTCTTTCTTTTTCTACTGTTGAATAAAATTTCAAGTGGTTTATCGAGAAAAGAAGTAAAAAATAAACACTGGCGAATGGTTAGGACGGTAACATAAACTATTGGTAGCTGTTTCCGAGGTGTTACCAGACTATATCAGGGAGCACTCTCCTCTCAAAGGAGGTAGATAATTTATACACGTGCATGGTTGCAAAGCAATGTCACTTACATCCGAGGACGACATTTCACCCTAGCTACACAGTGGTACAAAATGGAAGAAATAGCAGTGTGCAGATTACGTAACGAGCTGTCCTACCCATACACAAACTGGAATGTCTTTCTGTCTTATTGCCATTGGATCACGATGCGTTAATTAAAACAATCATATGAAGTCAGGTCTCTCGGAAGTTTAGGTATGCAGTATTACAGTGCATATCCATTGTTCGGACGTTTGTGGCACTTCGGGTGTCATCTGATAACATCACATGGCGCTAAATGAGATGATGTCAGAAGATAAATGTTGATGAGTTGTCCAAGTAAGAAACTGACGACGGATATATAAATGATTTATTCCGTGAATCTGAAAGTTGAAGGTTATTAAAAGAAATGCTAACCAACAATTTTATCGCAAGAAATGTGTTAATGATGCCAAAAAACATTCATTATGCAGTTTAATGAAATACAGTTTAAAGATTGTCAAATGATTTTCAACATTTGACAAGTTATGATCTCTTTATTAATCATTTCACAAGTAATTTCAGGACTCATTCCCGCGTTGAGCGATTTATGAGCACGCGCGGCGAGATCCACTTGTTTTCTCCGTTATTCAATGAGAACCTTGAGACTTTAGCGCGGAATCTTCTCCATAATTAATGGCCCCCCTTAACATACATTTTTTGAATGCTTCTGCATTTAAATTTGTTACTTTTGACAACTGTATATGTTAATCTGGACACGGTATTATGCATTATTTAAGATCTAATTTCTGTGCAGCTAAGTGTGTACAAATATGTTGCGTTTACCTTTTTTCTGGACTCATTTGCATTTTAAATCACCGTTTACGTTTTGACCTCTTGTGCGATGTAACAGCTTCATTCAATAGGCCGCGAGCATCATTTGCATTCCATTGTATAGTTCTTTTCTAAATGAAGGTATGAATGATTGTATTTTACGCTATTTGTCAGCGAATTTTTATACAGAACGAATGAACTCGTATTACAATTGTTATTAGATATAGAAGATATTAAGGTGTAAAGTTTGACAGGATATGCTTCTTGATTTGGGGTGGGGGGAGTCAATTGCTATCGCATTACATGTTGCTTATGGAGTGAAGTTATTATATTCAAAAGATGGGCCCGTTCCCTGATGAAAGTTTGAGATAACAAGATAGGTAATTTAGTTCAAAATGATATAACAAAAGTAAAGGACTCTGCTTCCAACAGGATTTGACTGGGACAAAAAGCATCAGTTTCCTCATTCAGAGCAACGATCTGAAATAAATTGACTACGGACGATTAAGAAGGGTGGAAAATAAAAGCATTTTAACGAGACAGATCAGTCGTGCAAGAATGCCACCATAGAGAGGCTGTCTTACATTGAAACTTCACTCGCTCTTTGGTTTTCCATGCGTAAATATGGATTTCAATTACGATGTGTTTTTGTATAAACAATCCTAAACACGATGATTTCATTAATTTTATTTGTAAAAAAAAAAAAAAAATAATATTTAGATGTCATTGATGACTTCCCACGATTAAATTGAAATACGCGGTAATTTATGGATCAATGTAAATAGCCAATTGAACAATTAAGAACCATTCATTCTTTGAGCTTCTTTATGAGTTTATGATGAGAAATTGATTATCCCCTTTTAAAGTAAATGGTGTTTCAAATAATACGTAATCCCTCTCGTTTGATGAATTCAATTTAACACAAAAAATAATAACTCAAAAGTAGTATTAGTGTTAAGTTCTTTAAATTTTTTCCCATAATTTTTACAGGGAATTAATTAAACAGAGATGAGAGAGACTTGTTCGGATTTACGATTGCTGTTCTCTGTTAAACATGCTGTGAAAGGATTGCCCAGATAGGATGACTAACGTTTAATACATTGGCGGTACAGCTGTTAATCTGCCGGAAAATCAGACACCCAGGTCTCAAACAGAGGTACAACGAAGCTCACCTGTCACACGGGCCATTGTCTGTGACATCAGAAACGAACATGAAACATAATAGTAACGCTTTCAGATAATTTAAATTTAAATAAAAAAAGAAATTCTCTATAGATCGAGGAATACTAGGTACAACCCTATCTTGTCAATCATGGAGACAAAATCTTGAAGAATTTCAATTATCCTAAAAGAAGCCATAAATGAGGATAACGCGAGTTAATTTGTTTTAAATTCGGGCTCAGGATTCACCAAAAGAGTGGTAGCAGAGGAATGCTCCTTGTAGACATTGAAAAAGTTTTGACGAGAGCTTAATCCGTAAATCCAGCTTAACGGTTCCCCTATCACAAATCACAGCCCGAACCGAGGTTACAATAGCCTTAATAAATGGCCCGAACGAATTTTGACGCTTTCTCACTAGCCAAATCTCATCAGCTTACACCTTTTATTACAACAGAATTAGCTGATCCCCAGAAAATGATTGTCATGCACTCTAACGTGCGATTTAAATGTTACATGCAGATAGGGACACCTTGAGAACAACCTCCTGTCTGGTTCGTCCCTCCGATGGCTGAGAGCCGAAAATGGCAAACTTGGAAAAATCACTTTTCATATCAGCCTATATTTTATTTGTTTTAGATTATAATTATTAAATGAAATGATGAGATATAAAATAAGATTGATAAAATAGAAGTTTATTTTTATTATTGATTGAGATAACTTTTATCAATAGAAGGTGTATTGCAAGATGTGATGAATGCACATACACGCCCTCAGGGAGAAACTTTTTTGTTGGTATAAAATAGAGGATGTTACATGTAAAATATTGGTATCACATGTCGTATCAGCCGGAGAAATGGCCAAAGTCCTGGCACTGAAAGGAACCATCAACCATAGGCTGCAAGTTCATTAAGAACAGTATTCTTTTTTCTGACCGAGTTTTCCCTATACTTATAAGTAAGGCTGATGTATTCACTCTTGATTGCAGAGTGATTTTATTGAATGGATATTATTGTATAATAAATAGGTCTCTTATTTTAAACGAATCAATTGAAAATGTGTACTCCATATGGTATAGTAAAGTCAACGTAAGAAATCGGTAATGGGAGCCGGGCGTTAGACATCTGTCGATATAAAATATCATCCGTAATCAACGACTTCTTAGGTCTAATAACAGGTGTAATAACAGCCAGGTGAGCTGTTTTCCTGACCACTAAATTGTCTGGTTAAGGATACTTGTTTGTTTATCAAGGATGCGATACTTTACAATTATTGAATAAAAGAATTGATCAATTACTGAGATGAAGATTTATGATCGAAATAATTTCTTCCTTTTACAGCTCTACAATCTGAGAAAACTAAGTTAATGTTCCACGAGTAAATTCAAAAAGCGGTTATATTCTAGATAGTGAACGGTTGACCAGATTTTTGACAAAATAAAAACTAATTTTGTCATTCTATCTCTAGAGTAACACCGGTCCTGACAGAAACCACGAAAACCGATATAAAGTCTGTGTCTGGATCACGACATCACTGCCGTCCGACATCTTCTTGGGAAGCTTCTAATTTTCGTACAAACAAGAAGGGACGATTTACCGTAACAAAACATCGCCGATATCGGCCTGGTCTCGGCTCTCGTCACCAGCGCACCTGGCTAAAACTGTCAAAGGCGTCCACGGTGGCATCAAGTTTCCCCGATAATGTTAATAGTGGGGGAACTAGTAGTGTTTAGCTATGGCAAGTTACTTTTAACTGGTATGAACCAAAAGGTTATCACCTGTCAAACGATTTGAAAAGTCACCAAATATCCCCCGATTTTCCGATACTGATAATAAGCAGAATAGGAGGCACAATAATGCCTGGGAAAAATCGATTGAAGTTTCATCATTAAGGAAGTAACGTTTGTTCTTTTGAAGTTTTCAATATCCGTGTTGTTTTTTTTTTAAGATTTCGATAATATCCAAGAATTTTCGTTTTATCTCGAATTATAAGTAAATCCGGTATTTTTTTTTCCTGATACTCTTAGCCACAAGAATTTTGGGAGTATATAAAAGTCTATTAATTTTCTGATGAAGAAAATACTGGGCATCAAATCGACGCGGGGGTTCGCCTAAACCATAAGGCCATCAACTTTACATTTCATTTACATATGTTTATTTATTTTCCTAGGCTCATTTGATCTTAGATTGAACCTTAGATAAGTTTTTGGGAAGATACCAGTAATTGAAAGCTATGCCACATTTAGTGTCTGTATAACGTTTTACTACTCAAATTTACGACAGAAAAGAAGTTATTTTAAACTACTTTTCCCTAACTAAAGAAAAAAAAACCGAAGACAATAATAATCTAAGGTATTTGTTTAATTCAGAAAATTTAACTATTTCTATAGCTCGCCACAGTTTTCTGTCAAGATGTAATTAACGATGAAGGGGTTAATTAGCGCAGAGAACTCTTACCTTTCCCTGGGCCTGAATGTCGGAGCGAGACAGTGCGGGATTCCCCCCTCCCGAGATCACAGTAACAAAAACAACCAGACAGGTAATAATCCACAGGAATCGGTACATTCTTGTCGGAATTAACACAAACACATATAAAGCTTGGGATCCTTAGAACTTCCTCAGGAAAGACCGATCTTCCTCCATGCTAAGTCTTTTAATCACAGATCCGCGCAGAAATGAATTTAATCCAACCCTAGACTCTCATCGTTTGGAATTCTTCTTACTCACGTCTTACATTTTTTTCTATAAACACCACACGATGCAGGTCCACGCACACCTGTATGTTTTATTTAAATAAAAATAAAAAGCGATATGTCATGAATGATCAAACATCTCATCTCCTCATCCTACCGTCCCCATGTGTGTACTCTCTCCAAGTATTTAAATAGCCCACAGAGGTCACGTGATGAAAAATACCCCAATATCAAATCGCGAATATCAACAATGAAAATTATTTTCAAAAATACGACGATATACGATACGTTTTTACATATACACATATAAGTTGAATATTATTGTTAAGTGAGCTCTCAATAGGAGGTATAACGAAGGAGCACAGTCTGATTAGTGTGTGACGCGGCTCTCCTTAAACCCCCTTAACTCTCGCTGAAATTTAATCCTTGCCGAATCTCGATTCAATCATGATAATTAATTCGTTAGAATCATTTAGAAATATTTTAAATCCGGTGATTCTCCGTAAGTAAACAATGGTCGTCTGCGCGCTTCTGTAAATTTTGAGTGTTTGTCCCTTCAGTGTAAAAGACGGATTTTTTAAAACATATATTTTAATACGGAATGATTTGAGGCATGTTACACACTGACAGTTGAGATTCCAGCGTAGATAAGACTAGTCGTATCTCGACATTCATTTGATAATAGCTTTGACACACGTAACATACATCAAAACAAATTGTAATGGCCACGGCCTAATCAAGTTTGCTGGTATAGTAATTCACCAATAACGTTTCATCTTGTGTCACTTTCATCGAATTGTGCTTTGCATCCATTTGTCAGACATAAAATAAGTGTGGAGTAAATGAGCATTATAATTGTAAATCTTAGCACCTCGTTTCACTGATAAGTTTTTATATAAAATTACATATGACAGACTCCAAAAATTATCTGCTTATAAAAAATGAAAACGAGACTGTCTCGCGCGAGGTAGCTCCCGCGCTTTTTCTTGGATACAGATCATCCGAGTAAAATCACATGATACGATGGCGGTTTTCTTCAGCTCAAAAAGACCCCTGTATTCCCAAAGACGCTGCACTTCTTCCTCGGGACTTCGTCTGATGGATAAATTAATGTGATTTAGTCGTCTTCACTTTGATATTTCTGACAAACTGAAAAACATCGTCTTGAACCAGTAACTCCCCTCGTTTGTGTAGGCAATGTCCCTGGTTACAGTGGTGGCGAAAAGTCGTCATTTGTCAGTTGTCATCATAAACGCAAGAAACGGATATATTCAGGATTTCTACTTGAAAATACATTAATATTTTAACTCTGTTTGGCAAGTTTTTCCACAATTAGATTTATGAGTTAGGAATCCTACATAGCGAAAAATGATGAATGTGACGTCCAGAAAAAAAGCACTTATTACTGCAAAAGCCACACCAGAAAATAATCCCTGAAATCAAAGAAAGTCATGGACCTTAGCATTATTTTTAATCTTTATCTTATATAAAAAAGTTTTGTCTCGAATTTCTTCAGATATTCCCAAACCATAGCATCTTAGACTTTAAATGAATAGCAAACTCTTCGATGCGTTGGCCATCTGAACAAAATATTCTTAAGGACAGATGATACAAACAAACTTTTGTCAAAAAATTGAAAATAACAAACTGATACATGTTTTAATGAGTTAAATGAATAGGTTTCACCGCGTAGTTTTTAAATTTTTAATTCGAATTTTCACTAAAATGGGATTTGAAGTGAAAAATATTTGTATAGGTTAATAAAGATGGTTTCAAAGAGGCAGAATTTTGAACATCATAGAAGGTTTACAATTTCTTTATATTCTAGAAATTTATTATTTGCATCATTTTCAATTAAATTAAACCAAAAAATATATATCAATCCAGGCATCCATTTTTTTTTGGTATCATCTGTCCTTAAGTTTACGTGTTCTTCCTCATCTAAACACTATAATCTAGCTACACAAATTATTTCTGGAGATATAGGGTTCAGAAAGACGACCTCAAATAGATACCATTAAAAGGTTCAAAATACAAAGAACTCAGGATCTTTCAGCGAGCTACAGACTTTATTTCTGTTACAGAACTTCATTAAGGAATATGCAAGACAATGGACTTGCCAAAAAATTAAGAGGAAGGGATGAAGCGTTTTAAATGAAATTTAGAATTGAAATGGGAATAAGGGGGCCAAGAAATAATGTTCTAGTTCTTGCTTTAAAAAAAAAACTTGCAATAAAATAGTCTGTGTTTGTAGGGCTAATCTACGAAACTTAAAAGAACTTTGGAAAATATAAAATCTCAGATGTATTAAACTCTTCTACACTTTATTAAAATTCCTTGGGATAAAGTTTTGACATCTACAAGAATACTAGACTGGAAAGAAACAGTGTAACTGTTTACGTACACAAATTTAAAAAAAGTCCATAGAAAAGAAAAAGAGAGAGACAAGAATGGCAAGTCATAAAGAAGACGAATGAAATACATGTATATGTTGAAAAAACGAATAGTATTCGAGCTCAAAATCCATTAAACTTTACAAAATAGGAGCGGAACTAACACGGACCTCCAAAACATCAGAGATGGGATCAGGTGCCATTGAGGAGTGATCATTTTTCATCCGAGTCGAATGCAACACTTTTAACTCATTGAATGTGCATCTGTATATGAAGAGATTGTTTCACTGCTCTGCTTAATTTTCCGCCAGCGTATAGTTTCAAAATTAGACCTGCTGTGCAGATTTAGCACTCCCTGAGAATCAACTCCAAAAGGTTTGGCTTCTGGGGATATAGACAATCCCTCTTTGATACTATTATCTAATACTGAAGAGGAAAATAAGGTAAAGTAAAACATACAATTCGCAAGATTAGACCACAGTTATCAATAATTGGTCCAACAAAGAGAAAGGGCTTTATGAAGTCGTCTCATTATGATGTGTTGCTCATGGAGTGCAGGATAATTTCTTCAGAGACTGGTAAGCGGTACGAATTATAAAAAACCAGAGGTAAGATTTCGGTCACGAAGCTAAACTTATCTCTACCCTGCCCAATTAATTAAAAGAAGGACCTGAGAGAGCTTCAGATACCTTGATAGAATTAGGACAGACTATCAGAGGACTTTTTTGTTCGGAGCATCCGTTGGTAACAACAGAAGTAAGGGAAAACCTTGGAAAAGGGCTTGTATAGTCACACTAGTAGATTCTCTAATGTGATTGCACATCAAGTAAAGTAGGATTCAAAGTTTAAACAAAATCAATCGTTTGCAGTTGAGTTTGGTGACAACACCGAAAAGAGAGACCATAGTCATAATAAGACAAACCTGCAAGGAAGACAGAAAAGGTCATCCAGAAATTTTACATATCAAGTAAACACTTCAGACAATTTTATACCCATAAAGAAAGCACAATCAACAGAAAGAAAGAGCGAGAGAGACGACATTAGAGTAGGTCAAACTTTCCTTGAAAGACAAAGATTTTGTATAGATGTCATAATAAGAAAAATTGATACATCTTCTTTAAGGAAGGATGCAATGTAGAATCTGTCCATTATTGAAGAAAAGAATTGATAATGCTATTAAGCCCAGCGATCATTTCATCTATTAGTGTGAATATGAAGACAAGAGTGAAAAAGCAGACAGATTTATACTTGCTGGAAAAATGAAATGAAAACCAAATGTTGATTAATATATACTGGAGAATCCTCTTACCTTACTATCTAAGAAAATGATCACCTGATAAAACGACCCGAAAAAAGGATGGTAAGTTGATGAAGCAAGAATAGCAACAGTCTCGTTCAAAGTCATCATTTCGTAAGTTCTATGGTCGATACAATGACCTTGTCAAATACAATTTATCATTCAGTCAAAAGATGACAGACTTTTTCATACTGATTGTTAGGTCATTATTTACAGACTGAGTAGTCCATGGGTTTTTTCCGTTATCTTGACAAGAAGCGGGATGACCGGTTGGCAGGGAATGCTCATTCCCCCATGGCACCTAATACCACCTCTGATGTTTTAGAGGTCCGTCTTTGCTCTGCTATTTTTTATTGTTTAACTGCACTTTTGAGCTTGAATACAGTTCATTATCTCCACATTGGTAAATATCATTTTTTAGAAAGATTAATTTGTCACGCAGATAGGAAAGTTGAAAAAGATTATTGAAAGTAATAGTAGAGGATTCAGCTTCGATGGTATTTTAGGACTTGACTTCTAAAAAGCTTGTAATGGAGCAGGAGATCTCTAAACAAGTTATTCGAAATCAAAGAATAAAAAGGGTCGCTTTTCATGGAATTCCACCAAGAAATGAAGTAGTTACTCAAGGAACATCACGGAAGAATATAAATTACGTTTTACAGACTATAACTACTGAGTGGAGACATACAGAAAAAAAAATTCTAGGAAGTGGAAGTAAGATATTAGGTTCGCACTTTAAGAAAAGGAAAACATATAGCTGTATATCTCCCGAATGTCAGCAAAGATGGACAACACATTCGTTTGTTTGATTGTTTGTGAAACGTCTCTTCAAGAATTTTCACTCAATATTGAGACGCCAGCACTTACCGGATGCGCTGTAAATTTAGACCTATTATAAGCAGACTTATTTTTATATTCATATGAAGCAGAATTTATGCAAAATCTTATGCGTGAAAAGAAGAAAACACTTGCTGTGGCCTTCAACTCGACATTTAGATATATTGACGACGTATTGTCAATTAATAATGGTAATTTCCATTCCTACGTCGATTCGATATATCCTGGTGAGCTTGAGATCAAAGATACCACAGAGTCCGACACATCTGTTTCATACTTGGATATTTTACATGAAAAAGACACTAATGGTAATCTAACAACCAAGCTATATGATAAACGTGATGACTTTAACTTTTCTATCGTCAACTTCCCTTACTTATGCAGCAATATACTTTCATCATCTGCATACGGAGTATATATATCTCAGTTGATTCGATACGCAAGAGCATGCTCTACGTATGAACATTTTCTAAAACGAGATAAATTTTTGACAAACAAGTTGACACTGAAACAAATTCCTGATCATGATCACACTGTGACTCGTGTAAAGTAATCATGTTCGTAAGTTGCTCTTATTATGTTCCCCAAACGTCGATCTGTTTCTTATTATTATGTTCCCCAATGACCTTGTTTCTTATTATTATTATTCTTTTTTCTTCTTATTTCTTCTCCGCAAGATACAATTTATCATGTTGTGTAGATGTGCTGAACGAAGGTCATTTTGCGCGCATTCGCATGCACGTGCGGGCGCGTGCAATGAGTAAAGTCACTGATATATCTAATATGGTTGTAACTTTTATATTTTTTGATAAAATGTTTTGAAACTCATTATATAAAGTATATAAATAGATAAGATGATATGGTCAAATTTGCAAATCTTAATATCTTTTTTGTTTTAATGAAATGCTTTGAAATTTATAACATATACATGCATTAGGATGTACTACGATATGATATATAAAATTTTTCATGAAATCACGCGCATGCACGTGCGCTGCAATCTGATTGGCTGAAACTTTAAATGATTATAACTCCCTTGATCAACCAAACAGGATGACATTAAGAACATAGTTTTTCATACAAATTGTTGCACGTGCGTGCACGTGCAAATGAGTAAGATAGAGTAGACAAGATGATATCGTCATTACGCTCATGCAATCACATGCGCACGCCTGCATTGCTAAAATTTGATATACTTGGTATACATTTGGGAAAACGTTGTTTACGTCTTAAATGCATAGATTTTACCTTCTTTAATGAAAATTACAGGAAATATGGCATTTCCTTCCCGTTACAATTAGCACTAGTTATTATTATTTTTCTTCTTCTTCTTCTTCTTCTTCCTGGACATGGTAAACTGTTGATCCGATGTGAAAACCTTTTTAGGGTCAGTAGCGGAATCAATGTCATTTTGTGCGCACGTGCTTGCACTCCTCCATGGCACCTGATCCCAACTCTGATGTTTCGGGGGTCCATGTTTGCTCTGCTCTTATTTTGTATTGTTTTATGGACTTTGAGATTGAATACTGTTCGTTATCTCCATATCCTTCACCTAAACTCAGCACTTCGGGTCATTGAGTAGTGAAAAA